TTCCCTCGGCCTTCATCGTCCTCTCGCACCGTCATGCCCTCGACGCGGTTGTCTCTCCCGGGCTCGGCGAGTTAGCCCTATAATCGGTTTTGGGCCGAGAAAAAGGACACAGCGGTGGACAAAGTCGTGCAACAACTTCCCCAATTGGTGCACTCATTATTAGGACAAAAGAATCCCTAACCTAATAAAGGAAAAAAACCATAGCATAGCATAAAATGCGGAGGACAGAATATTATAAATATTTACAACATATGCACTTTCGTTAAACGATATCAAACCCGTTACATTACCACCACACCACCACCTATATACATTTCCAGAAGAGACATACATACATGTGTATATATACGCATATATATTGTATAAATCGGTGAAGGAACGACGACAACCTCCTTTGCCTCTTTGGATTTTTAAATTTTTTTCCATTTTTTTCCCCTTGATGGCCAAACCGGAAAACAACGAGAACTTTCCCGAGAAACAAACATGGGGCACGTGGGAGGAGCTCCTCCTTGCCTGCGCCGTTCACCGCTTCGGCACCGATTCCTGGGACTCCGTCGCCGTCGAGCTTCGCAAACGCACTCCCTCCCTCCGCTCCGTCACCGCCGCCTCCTGCCGCCTCAAGTACCTCGACCTCAAGCGTCGCTTCTCCCGGAAACCCTCCGCCGCCGAAGACGACACCGCCACCGAGATCCCCGCCGTTCCTTGGCTCGATGAGCTCAGGAAGCTCCGAGTCGCCGAGCTCCGCCGCGAAGTCGAACGTTACGATCTCTCCATCTCGTAAATCCACCGGCCGTGTCTCTCCATATGTTACCTTCTCCAGATTTGCGTTACTCAGGTTTCGAATCGACGATTCATGCGTATGTTGATGCAGGTCCTTGCAATTGAAGGTGAAGAGATTGGAGGAAGAGAGAGAACGGAGCATAAAAGAGGACGAGACGGAAACGGAAAACTCAGATCTAGATAAAATCGCGGAGAAGAAAGAGAGTTACCGTGATTCCGATGAAAACTCCGGCAAACCGGCCGTCGGACCAGCGAATCAGTCGGTGAACGAATCGAATTCCCCAGATCCAAAGGGTGACGAGCCCGGAACCGGTTCGGAGGACGATAACCGGGAAGAGAAAGTTACCAAACCGGATACCGGAGAACCGAACCGGTCCGCCGGCGACGGGAAACCAGCCGGCGAGGATTCGTGCAGAGGGAGCTGCGAGAGCGGGGCGAAGGAATCAGCGGGGAACTCGGGGAGGATTGACCCGGGGAGAGAGGCGGGTGACTCGGGCGAGTTGATCGAGTCAGTGGCCGAGTCGAAGGGTGGAGCGAGCCGTGGGGAAGAGGAAGCGAAGGAGACGAGTGATGTGCAGAGCTCGGCGAGCTTGCCGAGAAAGGACGAAGCGGATAACGAGGAGGATCAATCTCCGACCGTCAAAGGGATCCCCTTTGAATCCCAGCCATTGGCTGATTTCCTCGAGATCCTCCAGTCTCAATCCTCTGGCTCCCACTTTTCGCGGCGGCTCCAGAGCCAGGTAATCACCATTGAAAACAAAATTAAAAATTCCACGTTTTAGTTTTTATTTCACCAATTCACTAATAGAAATGAACTAAAACATAGTTTTGTCGCTTTGTTATCTTCAACACTACGTGAAAGTGGAGAGAGGGATGTGGACATGTTTGGTTGGGCTTGTCATTTATGGGACAAAGTCGTATCTTTCTATTACTTATAACAAAGGGCATTCATTTCGACTTATTCTCTCGTCAAAATTCCGCAACACTATAATGGGGCATGAATCAAATCGTGAGGGGCTTTTGGATTGTATACTGCAGGAAACACCGGAGTACGGGAAGATAATTCGGCAACACGTCGACTTTGAGATGATACGGACTCGTCTTGAAGAGGGTTGGTACGCAGTTTCCACAGGAAAGTTCTTCCGTGATTTGCTGCTTCTTATCAATAACGTGAGAGTCTTTTACGGGAAGGGATCCTCCGAGTTTAAGGCTTCCGAACAGCTTAATGAACTCGTTAGGGAACAGATGGCTCTCAAGGTGCAGAAACCAACCTCACAGCCGAAAGAGGAATCCTCAATGGTTCCAAAAGCGGTTCCCGAATCTTCACATCCATTGTCTTTAAAGCCTAGGATGTCTGTCCCTATGATTGCTTGTCGGAAACGGAGTTCGTTGGCTGCTAGATCTTCGGCGCCAGTCCAGAAAAAGCTGAAAATGACTCCAGTGGTTGATGAGAAGCCAGCTACAGACATGGAAGATGAAGAAAAAACCTCTGACAAAGATGAGGAGCCTCTTATTTCAAAGAAGAGGATGACAAGGGAAAGAACTTCTTCGAATACTAAAAGGGCGGCGAACAAAAATGTAAAGAACCGTAGTAAGATTGATACTACTTCGAATGTTGGTCTCCCAACCAAAGGCCGATCTCCTAATGATAGCTCTGAGCCCAAGAAAAGTGATCAAGAAAAGAAGGGTAACACAAGTGCTAGCTCGAAGAAGCAAAGTGTGGCCACTTTCCTTAAGAGAATGAAAGGGGGCTCTTCTTCTGATACTACACCTGAGACTGGGAAGACAAACTCTGGTGCTGATTCTTCTAATTTAAAAAGAGGAGCTGAGCAGAGGAAGAACAACAGTAACAAAGACAAAGCTGATGCAGGAAAAACCCAGACTTCCCAGAAACGAACATCTGGGAAGAAACAAACGAACGAGAAGGGAAGTCCTGCGAAGAAAAGCAGTGGTCGTGCACCCAAGAGAGCGGCTGCTGCTTCGTCTTCTCCTTCGCCGGCTAAACGAGGCAAGGAAGTCGCTGAAAAGGAGGCAGGTCCTTCCACTCGAGCAAAGAAGCGTACAAGGAGGTGATGCCATCGTTGTTTGCTTAATGCTTGACTACCGCTGCCGAGTGCCGAGTACTGGGTTTAGCTAATGGGATTTGCAAATGAAACGTATAATTGAAGTTCTGGGATTGATTGACACTATGAGGCTGCACATTGATCAAGAGTATCTCAAACATTTTTACTATCTGCAATTATTCCAGCCAAGAACATAAAAAGATTTTGTGTTATATTGTGCCAAGAATGGAATATAGCAGCAGACAAGCACATATGACCTTTCTGTCTGAAATTGGGATTATCCTCATGCTATGATCATCTCAACATCGGTTTATCAACTGTTGTTACTCAAGTCTCCTTCACTTTGGTCTGGTTTTCCAGCCACTGCTGTATCCCTGTGCGGCTCTGTCTGCTCCCCACCTGGTATATTGGAAACCAATGAAGAAAGGTAGATGAAGAAGCGCAGATAAAGTGTGGCGGCAATCAAAACTCCAAAGATCATTTGCTGCTGGACATATTTCTTCACCTTTGTCCTTGGGAGATGAATCGGCTATCTTTTCTATGGCATCCTTATGTATATCTTCGTCGCCCTGCATCAGATTTCATGTGTCAACTTTCGGATTTACTAGTGTGAGAGAGTACAAAGCCTAAGTCAAAGAGCTCTGGAGATTTCACCTTCAGGGTTTCCTTTCCCTTCTCGAGTTCAGTTGGAGCTTTGCTGGTAACTTTACTCACCTATTCAAAAGCTTATGGAAAATTTGGTCACTGCATTTTAAAATTCATAATGCAAATCTGTTTGATCACTTGCCAAATACTTACCTCCTTGAGTGGCTCCTTACTGGCTGTATACTTTGATGGAAGAGGTGGTATTTTGAAGCAGTGATCATCAGACCTTTCTCGTGTAGTGGTACTGGTTTCTCGCAATAAGGTTTGGCCTGGTGCTAGAGCGCACGCTTCTTCAGAAATCCCCGGATCTTCACCTTCCCATAGGATATCTTCAGCTGGAATCTGCAATCAGTTCAAGATTCGGGGTTTGGCTTCGAAAAAACGATGAAGAGTCGGAAAACTATGGGGAGATTAAAAAAAAGTCTGGTCTTACACATCTGAGATCAACCCAGCTACATGGGTCTTCCATTGTATCTGTGTCCGACTGTAGCTGATACTGTCCCTGGAAAAAGGGAAAGCGATTTTTTCTTGGAATGGCTGAACCCCGAAAGAAACGCAAGAAACCAGACGGCTGAATGGACCTGGATATGTACCTGATATGTGTCGTATGCTGCAATAGTGAACTGAATATAGTCTTCATCTCCGGGCAGTCTTATATGAATGACTCTTCCGACGAGAGACTCAGGAGAAATTCTGCTGCAGCGTTCAGAAGATGAAGCACCAGCAGAGGATGTCACTGCATTTTCTTTATGCTTATCTCTAGAGGTCTTGGGCTCTTCTTGCTAAGTAGACAAAAGGACAGGACACGAATAAAATCAAACCCAAAAGAGGAATCCAGATTTTATCGGCCGGCTTCTCTTCCATTGTTATGAAAGTAGAGGGTCGGACATACTGATTCGGGTGTCTGTGGTAATTGTTTCTTCAGTTTTATACGGAGAGGCGGCAATTTCTCTTTTGGGCGAGGAGGTTCCTCCTCTTCCTCGTCCTCATCCTCGTCTTCGTCCTCGTCCTCGTCCTCGTCTTCGTCCTCGTCCTCGTCCTCTTCCTCTTCCTCTTCCGCCTCCGAGGAATATGTCCTGAGAAACCAAGCTCGAAGCAAAGGTTAATCCCGAAGAAATTTCCCGTGAAACAGAGCAATTCAGGTACCTTAGTTGTTGGACCACGTTATCTTTTCCTATAGCCTTCCTATAATCTCTATTTTTTTGGAAAGTAACTTTCAACTCCCTCATGAGATCTTTCAGTATGGTAATCCTTGCCTGGATAACAGATTAAGCCACAATCCAATTCAATGAAAGCAAACATGGGGAGATCTAAAACGGAGAAGCTCGAAGAAGAAGCGAGGAAGATTGCGTGTGTTACACCGGAAATTTCTACGCTTTCTGCCACAAAGACTCGAAGAACGCTGAAGTAAGCCTGATCTTGCATTTCCCTGATTCTCAATTTTCTGGTCTTTATGATCTCCATTCGTTCTTTGTTTCGCTTCTTATGATCTTCTTCTCCTCCAGTAACTGGTCTCTTCTTGAACGGGAGGCTCGACTCTGGATCGTTGAAACAGATTCAAGAACACGGGAGAAAGTGAAAAAGCGCCGAATCATTCAACATTTTCATCTACTGGGGAAACACACAGATGAACGGGGGAAAACCTCGAGATCATAAACCCTAGCTCCTTAGTGTATTCGCAATGCAAAACTGGGAAAACCCCGAATGCGGATTCGAAATCAAGATTGCGAATATGGGTATGAACGTACCGGGTGTAGGATCAGGGGCAGGATCTTCCCGCTCTGCCATGGCTGAATTCGAAATCAGACGAACCAGCGAACCTGTTTCTTCTCGCTGATGTTTGCGTTCCAAGAAAATGGAAAGAAATGTGGCGCCAACAAATTTGCAGGTTTAAATCGAAAGCGTCGGTGCATTGAGAAGGGAAAAAGGGTTTAAAATTTGTATGACTTGCTATAGAAGTTAGGGTTTTCTCTTTTGCCTACTCACCAAGAAACTATGAAGGTAACATACGAAGGTCTGACGTGTCAATCATCAATTGGATAATGGGAAAAGCTCACTCCATGATTTATCTATACATGTAACTATACACTTAAAAATTATTGGTTAAGAAAATCTTATTTTGAGTCTATCTTTCTATGCAAGAGACCAATCGAATCTCAGCTTCTACAAATATATATATCTTTTGATTTGATGTTAATGTGAATACATTATATATATATATATATATATACATACGAGATCTTATCAGGAGCTAACCTTAATATAATTGGCTGAGTCAGTCCACGAGGCAGAGACATACATGGTTACAAAAAGTCTAATTGTGGGTAGAAAATTGAAGGCCGAGTAGTTGAGAGAGGCCCGAGAAATTACACTTTTGGAATATATATATTAATATATATATAAATTGTCGCACTCTTATAATGTCTCTTAGCTATTATTTATTCATGAATATTATTATTGCATGATTAGTCTATCCAACACATATATATCTTTTTACACCCAAATTTGGGTGGTCTAGTGGTGAGAGAACATGCAAAGCATACTCTCACCCTGGATTCAAACCCAAATATAGAAAAAGACATTCACCTGGACGATGTAGTCGGATCAAATATCCGGTGAATTTCTAAATTATCAAAATATATATATATATATATATATACCCTTTTACCATAATAAAATCGCGTGCGTATATAAAATCAGCATGAATCTGAATTCACCGCTTACATCTGCCCATTATTAATAGAAAACAAAATCTTTTAATTTTTTTTTTACAAAACCCTCCACATAAAACTTACGCTTTATCCCCGCATGTTTCATCTTCTTGCAACAAAACCCCCTAACTTTTCAAACGCTCTTACTACCCCATCTTATTACAAAATCAGACCAGATTTAGACACAAAAAGGAAAACTCTTACAAACTCCTGGCCAACATTTCTTGGAATCTCCTGTAAGACTCAACCTTCTCCAACAAGAACTTCTCATGACAGCTCGCGATGAACTTATCAGCTAAACGATCGATATCGTCGCCGATCTCTCTCTCTTTCTCTTCCCCATTGTTATTGCTATCGCCATTGATGCAATCGTCACCGACCTTCTCTTCGAGCCATTCCAGATAACCAGACAGCTGAGACTCACGATCCTCGTTATCACCGTTCACGACCAGATCATCGCACGGGAATTCTGGATCGAACAAAGAGTTGTGATGAAGTGGGTAAGGGACAGGAGGAGGGACAGGGACAGGAACAACGTGGGAGGAACACCAGTTGTAGTGTAGTCTGAAAGAGCCGAAGAGGATCTTGCTCTGTTTCTTGGAGGTTTTTCTGGGATAAAACATCATGAGCACCCTATTTTTGCTGCTGCTGTTGTGTTTGGAAGCTTCGAGGAGAATGGATTTGGCTTTGTTTAGAGCTCGAATGAATCTGTAAACGGGGTGAGTGATGAGGTTGTGGATTAGGGTTTTGAGTTTCGTGGAGGTTGAAGACGATGGAGATTTCATCTGCATGGTTCAGATTCACTGGTTTCCCTCTTTCTCTCTCTCTTTCTCTTGTGCTGTGGTCTGTTCTTGATGCAAGAAACTTGTTCCAACAGTTCACAGACTTATAAAGGCATTTCATTACATGTTTACCCCTCGAACTTCGAGTTATTTACAACTTGGCGATAGTGACACACAGATCTTCTCTTTCCATGTCATGGCTTATGGGCAAAATTGTAAATTTCTATGACTGTACGGACACTTATCTAGTTATCTAGTTCTGGTTTCAATTTCCCTAATGGTGAAAGATTCTTGAAAGCATAAAAAGAGAATACGAATTTTGGTTGTCTACCTAAGATATATATGTGTTAAAAATAATTAGCTCAAATGATATAATATTAGAATTCGAAAATGTAATAGAAAGGAAAGAGATTCAGTCCAATAGTTTTTTTTTTATAATTAGGAGGTTCACTAAGTTTTCGACCCATTTAATTCTTCAAAATTCAGAATTAGTTTTTAATCACGTAATTAATTGTGTCTCTCATCTAAAACATTGAAGTTACTTTGTCGTCTGTCAGTCTAATAATTTTTTTATACGGTAAGATAAATTTATCTTTCATTATATATATATATATATATATATATATATATATATATAAACTATATTTCGTTTTCAAAGTCAGCCGATTATTAGTTGTGGAATTCCATGTATTCAAACGACGAACGACATGCATAGGCCCAAGATGGGTATTTGGCTTAATTAGTAGTCCATGTTGTGTTTTATCATTTTTTTAGTCCTAATTGTTATCGGGAAGAGTTCGAACTAATTAAAACATTGCTTATGGTTAAAGCAAATACTCATGTTTTTTGGTCTTCATGTTTTTTTTTGTTTGTATTATCACATTCAGATTCCTCGCTTCATGTCTTTGTTCTATTAATTACATCTCTTTCTGTATTTTATTTATTTTTATTTAGAACAGAAAAGCAGACAATCTTCTGAAGAAATTCGACATATATATATATATATATATATAAGCTTGTGGGGAAATGGGTTTGGTTATTAGGCCCGACTATCTTCTGTATGATTTGTTTTTTCATCCTGATTATAATTAATATGAATTATATGTATATTTATATACCTTGAAGTAGTTTAATCATCAGGCTAATCATGGTAATGACAAGTTGGGGTTCAGGGTTCAAATTTTATAACGGGATTAGGGTTTATATGGATTTGCGAAAGGGTTTAATTTAGGCACTCGTAACTCTAAACCGGATCACAGAAAATTATATAATTCCGTCAAGCAAAATGCCTGTACATGGAATCTTGGACCCTATTCAGGAATTTTTAGGGTTTCTTGAATGGGAAACAAATCCCGAGGCATATATAGTTATATATGTTTATGTATTTACGTAACATACGTATGCATGAGTGTGTATGTGTGTGTGTGTGCAGATGATTCTTTTTTATTTAAATCATTTTTAATTTGATATGTTTTTATATTTTTTCTGAACAAACAGATTTTTTTTTTCGTCTGATACATTTTCAAATTAATGGTAAAAGCCGTAAACGGCGGTTAAGGCTAAAGCTTCGCTGAAACTTCAAGCCCGAGGAAATAATCAAATCGATTTAATGATTAGTTAATGCATAAATCGACAGTAGTCATTATTTTATTATAAACATTTAATTCCAGAGATTATTTTAGGTTATGTAATTTTCGGGAGCTTTTTTTTTAATCTAATTTTCAGACAAGAAATCAAACCTGGCCGATCTTCGTCGGCTACCTGAATCTCTGGAACTCTTGTCTTCTCTTTGGATTTTATCTTACACGAAGAGACAGACAAAAATACACATGCAGAGCACAATCCACTATATATAATATATATATATATAATTATCTTAGACTAATTACTTAATTAGTTCCATGCAGTAATGATTACAGGACACAAACCATTTGTTATATAAGTTCCAATTAAGTGGAAAAGCAAATAGATGTTCTTCATATCAATTCCACGTTAATTTTTGGGAACTAATTAATGACTTTTACCGATTGGTCAAGTTGCATAATTTTGGGAGTTTACTAAAAACCGAAGGTCAATGTATGTATGTATGTATATATAGAATTTATAATCACTTTCTTCGACTGCGGTCGAATATGTATTTAGGGGGAGAAACTAATGTTCAAAAGTCTACTAATGCCACGTTATTGTATTATATTGAGATAAGGTGCAAGTCACTCTCATGCAAATTTACAAGAAATATCCAATGATTTGGATATATATATATATATATATATATCATATATGTATGTATGCACCTAGTTTCCTTCCAGTGGGAAGGCATCTAGGAAATTTTCTTATTGAATATATTTTAAATATTCCACGTATATATACCCCCATTTTAAGGTATATATAATTCAATCAAAAACCTATATACAAAAATGTTTTTTCCCACACAAATAGATCAGACGGAATCTTTTTAGTAAAGGGTAACATTGAAAATTATGGAGATTTAAATTATCTATTATAAAATTATAGAAACTATAAATTAGTTTTATTTATTAGGAATTTAGGATACTAATACCTTCTTAACCCGGATCCGAGTCCTCACTTATGAATGGGTATTTACATGGACTTTCCGATCTTCTGCAAGATGTAGTCAAACCAAAAACCCGATAAAATTCTGAATTATCCACACACAAAATTAATAGGATACTAACACTAATCCTATTAGAAATATAATTCATAATAGATAATTCTAACTCTCCGATAATTCTAAATAGATACCGGATTATATTATTGATTATCTAGTTAGATATTTCATTCTTTTTTTTTTTATAGAAAATATATATATAAGAAATGAAGAGAAGGTGAGAATGGGTTATTGATGAGGTGAAAGAGAATCGAGAGATGACACAAACACAATAAAGGGGAAAGGAAAGAGTTGGTGGCTTATATATGTTTTTAAACAACTTGCAACTTAACTGCTCTCTTTCTATTCTACGTACCCTTCGCTTCTCATCATCGGTTTTGGGGTTAGGTTGATTTTTTAATCATCTCTTATACTGTTATATTTATATTAATTTACATGAACATTTTATTGTATAGATCTATTATTTTGTTTTATTTGACAGTGTGTGTGTGTATATATATATATGGTGTTTCAAAAAAAAATTTATAAGGTATATATATTTTGTAATTAAGAACAAATAATACGTGTAGATTAACAAATTGATCAAATCATAGTGTACAGTATATATTTCTAATCTAACCATTGTTTTATTATTTTTTTATTTCATGATTGGTTTATTATTTTCAAAATTTAAGCGATATGAATATTTGAAGAGGATAAGATTTACTTATAGAATTTTTTTTTTGTTATTTTTATGTCAAAAAAAAAATCGTGACATTATATTTTAGATTTTTTTATTTTATATATTAAGATGATTATGATAATATTTTATATTATATCTTATTTGATTTTTTTTTTTATTATAAACGATTTGAATTTTTTTAATATTATTATAAACAAACTGAATAAAATTAAATAATGTTTCGTTATGAATTCTTAAAACCTGAAATTACCGAAATCGAACCGAACCGAACCGAACCGAACCGAATAAAATTAAATATTTGTATGGTTATGATTTTTCATAAATTGAAATAACTGAATCCGAATTAACCGGGACCGATTAAACCGTTCGTCCATCCCTAGTGTACATATATATTCAATTTATATTGAGACAAATATCAAAGTTTAAAAACAAATGTTTTCATCGATGGATTAAAAATCACAAATTGAATATACCACGCCATGCATGCAACTCGTTTCCGTACGGTGCAGCCTTGAAATAATCTCTAAACGTAAGAGTCCGACATTTCAGAGAGAGAGAGAGAGAGAGAGAGAGAGAGAGAGAGAGAGAGAGAGAGAGAGGCAATTTGGTGATTTGTTGTGGTAGGAATTTATTACCTAAATAAGAAATAAGGCTTAAATCATCAACAAATTCATAAATTACATCACGACAGTCCAATCATTTATTTTTGTTCGCACATTCATGCACCCTTCTCTTTTAATATTTTGTGTATATAAAAACTATGGCCTACCTACGTCGAAGACTTGATCATCATCGACTATTCTTTGGAATGTATATATTCCAATGCAAAGGGCATATATATATAAATATATGTACATATATATATATACACTATACGTATCATTCATATAAATTGATACTTATATCATGGCTAAATATTTTTTTTTTCTCTCGAACAAAATAGCTCTAGTGTCAATTCCACGGGATAAGAGTTTGATGGAAGCCCATTTGGATTTAATTTCTCTTTAAAATAAATGGATTGATATATCTAGATTGGATTATCAATTTATAATACAAACCATACAAAGTGAACCGATCCATAAATCAATACAAGTATGCTTCAAAAATACATAAATCATTTTCTTTACAAACATTAGAAATTGGAATAACAAAAGCGAGAAACAAAAGAGGAGTAACAAAAGTGTGTTTCATTTTATTTATATTTGGGAAAATAACATATAAATACCTAAATTTTTATTATGAAAATCTCATATAAATACCTGAATTATAAAATTTCTATATAAATATCTAAAATTTTAAAAATTCTATATAAATATCTAGATTTTTGAAAACTTTTCTAAATAAATACAAATTTCAGATATTTTTCAAATAAAAATAGATGCTGTGATTAACAGATTTTAGATTTATTTGAGAGTTTATCAGAATTTAGGTATTTATATAGAATTTTAGAAAAGTTCAGATATTTATATAGAAATTTTATAGTTGAAATTTTCGTAAAAGTTAGGTATTTATATGATATTTTTCTATTATATTTTAATTTCTTTTTCAGTTTTGAGGGGAAAGAATGGTTGGGCTGATTTTAATGGGCCTTGGCCCATTACCATAAGTTCATGGAGTGTAAGCCCATAATATATTCGTTATGGGCTTTGGACAAAATCTCCCCTTGATCGACGGCTCTGGTGGTGGTGGATGGCGTTATCCTGTTCGAGAGAAGAGAGGAAACATGGAAACGACACGCGCCTTGTTCGCGCGTGGGATAGAAGCGCATCTGAAATTGGCATCCATCTTCAACGGGCTAAGATCCATCCGCCAATGGTATACGATGGTGAACTGAGGAATGCGTCATACGTAAGTTTTACATTTAGTCTCGAAAAGAAAGCAAAGGAAACACCTTTTTTCTCAACACACCTTCCAAAGACGTCACTGCTCTTTGCTCCTTCTCTCTGCTTCTAACCATTTTGTTTGAATCTCTCGGGGAAATTGTTGTTGGGTTTCGATTCATCCGAGGTTCTGTTTGATCAGTTTCTCGGAATCCCTTTGTGTTTCTCCGATCTGGGTTTTCGTCTGCTTTCGACTCCGCTAACTTTAGCTCTTTGGTCGGAGACACTGGTGAATCTGGTTTTGAGTGAATCGAGAAGAAACAGAAGCGGCGACCCTTTTGGACTTTGATGGACTTCTGATCGGTTTTGTCTGATTCTGAAAAAATGGGTTCACGCGTCAGAGGTTCCGATGAAGATTTCTAGTAAACTGGTGAGTCTCGACTCGTTCTTTGTCGGTGTAGCAGATTCGTCACGCATATACTTATGGTACAGGTCGTATTGCCGCGATGTTCAATGCTGTTTGTTTGGTTGTTCTTGAAAATTTCGAGTAGATTGGGAGGAAATTGTGCTTCTTTGCTGTTGGATTGCTCATGCAATCAGATTTCTTGGAAAAGAATCAAGCTTTTTGTTGTTTAATAGCACTGGAGTCTCTCTCGAGATTGAGGGCTCGGCTCTGTTGAAATGGGTAAAGAGGATAACAAAATTAAAGCAAAGCAAAACGTGTATACGATTCATGAGCGGACATATGTAGAGAGTTATCAACTCGATTAGTAGGAAAACATGTTTGTTTCTGTTTTTGGATGTTTGGTAATGGAACTTTTTGAAAAGAATTGTTGTTCTTATATGTCAAATGAACATTTCAAATGCTCCAACTCTTCCTTTTGTGCAGGAAAATTTGCATTTGCCTGAAATGGAATCTGGTTTTTTCGTGTTTTACGTTCGAAGATGAACATGTTTATCCTTCCTCCTCGACCATTCGATGTTAATATATTAGTGTCAAAGGAATGGTGGTTAACTGGTTTACATATAAGATGGTTCATTATCTGATCCATAGCTTTCTCTACACTGCAATACTTTTCTTCGGATTTTCCTGTTCTTGTGATTGCCTCGCTTCATCGAACAGACATCGATGCTTCTGTTTGTCGAGTTCATCTCTGTAGAAACTGCAATTGTAGCTTTTGTTCTTGTCTGAATGTGATCTCCTCTGTTGAAACCGTGGTTCTGATGTCTGCTGTTAAGGATTGTTACAATTGGAAACGATCGTCTTTCAACTTGCAGGTTTCTCGTCTAGCTTTTCGAGGCATTCGTTCTTGAGATTCACCCGAGAATGAGAAGAGGAAGAGGAAAAGGCAAGAAGCAGAATGCAAGGGAGGAGGATCATGGAAGCGGTGAGGAGGAAAAGATTCCGGCATATAGGAGAAGAGGGAGGCCGCAGAAGCCAATCAAAGATGAAACCGAGGGAGAGGAACTGGTGGGGAAGATCGAAGAAGGGGATGAAGATGGCATAAACAGTTCACTAACCAGTAAAGATTTGAAGAATGAAGCTGTATCAGAAAACGGGAGGAAGAGAAAGAGATCACTGCAGTGTAAAGAAAACAATGCAGATGTAGCCAAGGAAGAGAACGGTAACGGGTCGAAATCGAGCACGGATGACTCGATAAAATCGTCAATCGGGTACAGACAGATCGGTAGCCGGAGGAAAAACAAGCCGAGACGGGCAGCTGAAGCTGTAGTCGAGTGTAACGGTGTCTGAGAAAACATCTAACAATGGCGATTTCACTGTCGGAATCCCGGGTTTGGAAGCATTTTGTCCGAATTTTCGCCTTTTCGAAACCGCCCTTTTGTGGTTTTTTCATGTTCTTGGTGACTAGGAGGTTTTCTTTTATGTTTCTGATACTATCTTTCTTTTTTTTTTTTTGCTATGAAAACTTGCACGGTTTACAAACAATTCAGACGGGGATTTAGCAAGTGGGCATTTTGTGTTCTTGGATTCTGGATTGGGGAATTCCGACATGGAAAACTTGAGCAATCCAAGCTTCAAAGCCGAGGCAATGCAGATATCTCTATATACATATATATGTCTTGTGGTAATATAGGATAATGTTTGGTGTTAGAAAGAGTGAGAATTTGGTTGTCGTGTAGTGTAATGGGGAGAGAGAGAGAGAGAGAGAGAGAGAGAGAGAGAGAGAGAGAGAGATTGTCTTTCGAGATGGCAGTGTTTGGTTCCACCCATTTTTTATCGTTTGACGTCATCCAGATTCTGTCCTCCCTCTCCCCTGCTGCTCCCCATTTTCTCTCTCCTTTTTTCTGTTGTTTTTCTTTTTCTTTTTCTTTTTAATTCAGCCCAAATATTTTTGAGAAATATAAAGGTTAAAAAACCAACATTTTAATATGAATTAAACAATAATAATAATAATAATAATAATAATAATTCAAAAAGTTAATTTAATACATAGCCTAAAAAAACTATATAAAATTATTGAATAATAATACAATAATAAATTTTCATTAACACAGCCTCGATTATTATGGCACAAACTAATGCAAATTAGCCCAAAAAAGCCACTATAAAGTTTCTTTTTTTGATTCCCATGAAAAGTACAAGGGAGATACGGCTACATAGAAATATATATATATATATATATATATATATATATATTTAAATAGAAGCAATTATTTTGTTTGAAGATTGTAATAAGGGGATGGAGTCGGTCCATGGTGAAAAAAAGGAGAAACGTATTGGGAATATTTTTTTTTAGTAAAGGTTAATTGTATTGATAACGCGTCATGTACAAAAAGAACGAGTATTTATTAGGCACGGGCACAGAAATTTTAACGTATTGGGAATATTAAAAGTGAAGAAAATCAATAAATATTTATTTATTTATCGTTTTTTCAGCACACATTTATCCCTGTGAAGGTGTGTGTATGTATATATAGCCATTGTATTCACATATACGCATTTAACCTAATGTTAATTAGTAATTTTTACTTTTTCATCGTTTTCATGCAAGGAAATATCGATTTCACTAAATAAAGCCAAGCAAAAAGCACAAATCAAACTGACACAGTAAAAAATAATTTTACACGGATTCAGATGAAAAAGCGATGGTAAATAACCATCATTGAGCTGCCTATATTATTACTCCTTTCTATTTTTGTTTTAGAAAATCAAGAAAGATATTGCCTTGGATATTGAGAGAATAACACAACTTTTTATATATAATAATAAATATTTTTTAATAATGGCTTCTAAAACTGAGTTCTCTCTCGATGTCACTTGAACTCCCGACACCCACCACTTAGTCCCCTTCGAAATGTCACATCCCTTGGTTCAGTTCCGTTCCAAGACATGCTCCCCATCCCTCTAAACAATCTTTCTATTTTTAATATCTAATATTAATTATTATTATTATAATTATTATTATATTTTGCTGATATAAACTGCTACCGTTATTATTATGCTTGAGATCCAACTCGGCATGCATTTCATTTGGGTGTTCGATGCTGAGTTGTCTTCTATGTTACAAACCCTAAATAAAGTATGTCCCACCCACTTGCCAATGGCATGCATCCTATGTATTTTCTTTTCTTGTTTTACATATTTTTTTTTCTCATAAGGAATATTATGACGATATCAAAGATAATTCAGTCAACCCCTTTTCGGGGACACAAAAAAAAATCTGGCTTCTTCACTTTTTTTTTTTAAAATTTTGATGCCAAATGTTGCAGCTTTTTTTTTTTTTAAATGTGAACCTTGGAGTATACGAGGGTAACCCTCTACGTTTCTTTCCACTACCAATAAAAAAAAAAATCTCCAGTTATACCGAAAGTGGAAGAATTTGGATTTGGCCACTAAGCGAGGAAACAAAAAAGTAAGGAAAAAAAATGGGCATGTGACGATGAACAGTTCAAAGTAATGGTACAAGAAGCTGAGTCCACTTTGCACTTGTTCGAGAGCTAAGAAACCGCCAACACCAACCAAAGGCTAAACACAAACAGAACCAAAAATAAATCTTCTCTCTCTCTCTCTCTCTCTCTCTCTCTCTCTCTCTCTCTCTCTCTCTCTCTCTCAAATCTCTCTCCGTCTCTATGTAGTGTCCGGTTTCGTGTTGTTTTGTGGTGACAGAACAACAGTCTGTGCCCGTAGCATTATACTTACCCTCGCTGTCATGGCCCCAGCTCCGCTCCCATCTCTCTCTCTCTCTCTCTCTCTCTCTCTCTCTCCATGAATGATCTTTAAAGCTTAAACCCTCTACTACTAAAATCAACCTAACCACATTTTCTCCTCCTCCTGCGTCCTCTCTTTTTCAAGACCGGTAAAGAGTAGAGATCAATCCAAGAATGATCCTCGAAGCCGGTGTCTAAGTAAACAGGAACAAAATGGAAACGGGTTCGGGTTCAAGTCCCGGTCCGGCCACCGAGTCGGGCGGTTCCTCCACCGAGTCTTCTCTCAGCAGCGGCCTCAAGTTCGGGCAAAAGATCTACTTTGAGGACTCGGGTGGTGATGGTAGGGGTCCGGGGCCTAGTTCGTCATCCGGGCCGGGCAGGAAGACCCGGGGAGGCGGGTCCGGCCAAACGGGTCAGCCGCCGAGGTGCCAAGTGGAGGGCTGCAGGGTCGATCTAAGCAATGTGAAAGCTTATTACTCACGCCACAAGGTCTGCGCCATGCACTCTAAGTCCCCCAAAGTCACGGTCGCTGGTCTCGAACAGAGGTTTTGCCAACAGTGCAGCAGGTGAGAAAGAGAGAACACACCTTGTTTCAGTTTCTTGTTTATTACGGATTTGCCACTGTCGCAGCTCGAACCCGAGACTCTGCTCGGTCCGGTCTTTTTTTATTTCAAGCCATTGTGGCTTTCTGGCAAGGGTGGGTCATGGTGTTTCAGCCTTCTGAAGCAAACCCTTTTGGTGTTATTCAGTGGAACCAACACTTTAGCTTCCTTTTGAGTGTCGTTGTCACACTGAGTGTCTTTTGTCTTTGAGCTTTAACGTCTTGGACTCTTTTAACTTTACAGCTAGTTCTGATGTGGTCTTGTGTCTTGACCCAAAAAACATGTAATAAGTGGATAGGAGGAACTCACGGCTTGTTTTCTTCTCGGACATGAGTTGGGTCTGATGAAAGAAAAATACCGGATTGCATGCCTTTCACAAGCCCAAGTTGAGATAACGAGCCCTTGTCGGCCGTATGCGTTTTAGCTTGTTGCCTCTCCTTGAAGCACGCTCAGATATTTTGCCAGTTTCTCCTCTTTGTGTCTTTGATCCAAAAGTGATTTCTGTACCGAGAATGAGCAGGTTTCATCAGCTTCCGGAGTTTGACCAAGAGAAACGGAGTTGCAGGAGGCGTCTCGCCGGGCATAACGAGCGAAGGAGGAAGCCGCAACCTCCAGCTCTGTTCACTACTCGTTATGGAAGGATCTCTCCATCTCTTCTAGGTTCGACTGATAGCCATTCTTTTTTGCAGTTCCTCACTTGGTTTCCCTTTAGTGGTTGTGCTTCTCTTGGTGACGTCTGATCGTGTACTGTGATAGGAAATGCCACTACTGCAATGAGTGGTGGGAGCTTTTTGGCTGATCCTATGGCCAGTGTGATGAGACGGCCCCTCTCTTCTCATCCATGGCAGATAGACCCTGAAACTCATCCACTGAATATTTTCGGAGGACCAACAAGCTTTTCATGCCCAGAAGCCATGAACCCTAGGGCAGAAAGCTACAAGGGAGTTGCTGATTCAAGCTGTGCTCTCTCTCTTCTGTCAAACCAACAACAACAACAACAACCATCACCCACTTGGGAAGCATCCATGGATTTCAACTTGATGACTGTAGGTGGGGTTTCCATTGCTCAGCCAGGGCCTGCTTCCACCCATCACCAGTATCCGAGCCCGCCTCCATGGGAGTTAAAGAACATCGGCAGTACTTCACAGGATATGCCTCCTGTTCTGGGTTTGGGTCGAATCTCGGAGGCTACTAACTCTCAGATGGGTGGTGGTAGTGCAGCCATGAGCGGGTTCGAGCTGTCTCAGAATCAGCAAACGAGGAGGCTGTACATGGAGCATGAGAACACCAGTGGTTATGATTCTTCTCAGAATATCAACTAACCTCTATGGGTTGTCTCCCTCTCAAGGGGACTTTTTTGTTGGATTAACACTTGAAGCACCCACCAGACTTTATCTAAGGATGGATGTGTGGTAGTGTTCTGACAAATCGAAGCCCTTTCTTTATCCTTTTGTCTTCTGTGCGACTATAAACCAGACAGTGGTTGCCAAGAGAATCACATTGGTTGTGTGCTCATTGTTTTTCTTCATTATCTCTTGTACCTGACCTAGGAGACCAGATTGAACATCATCATAATCAAGAAGTTTTGGTCATCAGACAAGGATTCTATATGTCAGACCCAAAGAATATAATAATCTGATTATAATCAATAGTTCCAATAGTTTCCACTAATAGATCGGTTACATGCGAATACAGCTATTTAAAGACCACTTCTAGATCTCCATCAGCAACTTTCTGCATCAATGAAAAATGGGAATGAGTTAGATGTTGAAGCTGTCAATAATCATGGTGATTCCCTTTGTAGCTTTGGGAGTTTACCTCTTCACCTAACAGAATAACCTATGCCTATGCAGACATGGTCGTTCTTCTGAATGTTGTTGAAGCCCTTTGGCAACATTAGAGAATTGTTAACCTGCATATATGGACAAAGAGCTTCCAGACATGTATCTGTGTGTTCCACCTCACTCAATGATCTAGTGGTCATCTTCATTTATCCCAGGACAGTTGGATGCAAGAGCTTCAGCTGTTTCATACTGAAGTGCAATTTTGGGTTCAGCACCACGTGAATGATTTGTCAACATAATATTTGAAAACCAACATCCAATCTCGATGGAAAATAGAAAAACAAAAGCACTGAACACATTTGATTACCTGGAATCCGCAGAAAAGGCAATACCGATATTCATCCCTCAGTTTAATCAATATCTCTTGCAAATCCTGCAACCAGCACACTAAGATTGTCACCCTCAACTCAAGAATTTTAAAAAATTGTTGAATCTTGAATTTCTAAGTGTAAGGATACAGATTAATGCCCATGCATAGGAGAAGAATTCTGGAAAAAAAAACATAATGCTAATTGTTCCCCTGTTTAACTCGATCTGAAACACTGGACCAAGCTGAATTCTACTTCACAAAAATAGACGTTTAGAACATACCTCTTCAGTGATCTCCTCTTCTTCTTCCTCTTCTTCACCCGATTTACCATCCTCTTCTTCCTCATTTCTCTTCTCTGGAACAACTTCTTTGTTCTCAAGCTGGTCAAGAGCTGCCTTAGCCTTCCTAAAGTTAACCATGATTCTCCGAATGCGCCATTGGGACTTCTGTCTGGACCCAAAGTCCGACATCAGTTCCTCCTCCTTTCTCTTTATATTATCCGCCTCAATCTCCTCCCTTCTCCTCTTCTCCTTATGAGGGTGCTCCCTACCGATCCCAGCCCTCGATCTCCGAATTTCCAGGCCCACAGGTTCAGCTCTACCTGACCCCTCTTTACCAAGAGCCAACCCGGGGGTGTAACCCATTTGCTTCAACAGCTTAAACCCTATGTTAGACTCCGAAATCGGAGTGTCTATACGAGCCAATGTCTGCTGATCCTCTTCCATTTGCTTCTTCTCTTTCTCAGCTTTTCGTCTCTCCTGCCAACTTAGGGCCTTGGGTTTCTTCCTAGATGGTTCAACATTCGCTGTTTTCGAATCAGAAGCCTGCAAATCATTCACATAGTCACACTTTTACTGGTTTGTTCCGACTGCCGATTTCATGATCTCTCTCTCTCTCTCTCGCTCTCTAACCAAATGAATCAATAAAAGTATATTTGCCTAAATTTCCAAACCCTAATTAACCACTCCGACCATCTTAAAACGCAGACAATGGTAAGGAATCGATTTCTACATTACTCACTTTCCCAAAACATGGAATTCATCGATATGCTTCATATCCTTATCGAAATTTTATATCATGTACTGAAATTTTGAAGTTGAAAACTGTTTTCCCTATGGGAAATTAAAGTTAAAAGAGAAGCAAAGAGGAAAGTACGCAGAAAAAAGAGACCTTTCTCGGAGGAACTCTCTTGGACGTCTGGGAAGGCTCAGGTGGAAGGAAACGAGACAGGTCTGCCATGTAGTCATCTTCCTCAGTTGCTTCTCTTCCATCTCCGGTTTGATTCCTCGTCGATTCCGCCATTGCCGGCAAAAGCGGAGGGAGAGCACACTTATTGGGCTTACTTGGGGCTTTAAATAGGCCCATAATGGACCTATATTGGGCTTATCTCAGACGTCTTTTCTAAAATGGGCTTTTGTTGTACAATTGGGCTTTAGGCTCTCGTGTCGTAGCTGAACGGCAAGGTTGTTGGTTGAGCTCTTCTTCTCTTCTGCATCTCTCTCTCGCTCGCTCGCTCTCCCGCGGCTTCGAGTTCTAAGGTAAAATCTTCTGGATCTTTCATTAATCCTCTTCCATTTGCACCTTGCTTCTGTTTTGTTGTTCTGTTCGTTAATGGCGGATTAAAGTTCTCGTTGCTTAACGTCCTTCTGGGTTTACCGAGCTGCCAAACCTACAGTTCTGCTGTCATTAATCGAATCTCGGCTTTTACATTGTTTGTCATGATCCGTTTCTCAATTTGGTTATGGTGTTTTTCACCTCGGCTGATGAACGCTGCTCTTTCTGATCTCGAATTCTAGCGATCTGATATTGAGTTGTAAATTTATCATCCGATTATGCGACTAAGGAGCATAAATTGGATCGGCTTTCCCCCTTTTTTTAGTGGTTTTCCTCTGATGGGATACCTTAAAGTTTACTTATTTTGATTGATTTGCCTTCAATTTCACATTTTGGTCTGATTGGATTATCTGGTGAATGTTCTCTGGGCATTGTTAGGTTGGAATCGGATCGCTTTTGATATAAAAAGCTGACAAATTATTCTTATGCACGTAGCTAGAGGACATCATGGATCCATCAGAAATGAGGTACTTGGAAGAGGAAGATAGCCCGATGGTGAAAACGTTTAAGGGTAGTGTTTTTGGTTTAGCTGCCGGGACGATTTATGGAACCGTTGTGGCTACTTGGAAAGACGTCCCTCGGGTCGAGAGGAATGTGGCTCTTCCCGGACTCATCAGAACGTTGAAGATGATGGGAAATCACGGGCTGACTTTTGCAGCAATCGGGGGCGTCTACGTTGGTGTTGAACAGCTGGTTCAGCACTTTAGGGCGAAGAGAGATATTTTCAATGGTGCTGTGGGCGGTTTCGTGGCTGGCGCTTCAGTTTTTGGCTTTAGAGGTAAGTGCTTTCCTTTTTTTTTCTTCGACTGATTTTCAGATTTAAGTTGGCATCGATGATTTCTCTCTGTAGTGTTCTTTTACTTCATCATCTCAGTTCATTGCCATGCATGGGTGGATTAATGTTTAGGACCATCAACCATGTTTGGTGGTTGATATGTTTTTGGAGAAATCTTACAGTTGCTTCACCATGTAACATTTTTACGGTTATCATGAAGACATTACGATTAGGAGCAGTCCAAGATTTAATCATATGGAAGCAACTCAAGAGTTATACCCAAATAAGAGTTCTTTGCCAAGTCACTTGCAGTTGATTGCTAATCCTCGTTCTTGAAGCAAAAGTTCTTGATAGACATGGAGAGACTGTGTGTGTACTGAGATTAGTTTTTGCTCTCTCTCCGAAATGTTGTAACATAGGTTGGAATGGTTGGTTTTCTTTACAGCGAGGAGCATATCGACAGCAATATCTGCTGGAGCGGCTCTCGCAGTCACGTCTGCATTGATCGATTCCGGAGGTCAGACCACTAGAGTGGATAACGGCTGAGAATACTACCCTTATACCGTCAAGAAAAGGGCTGGAGCCGACTCCTGATTTTCACCTTGGTGACAAGCCAGGAGAGAGCTCTTCCTGTGGAAGAATTAGGGTTTCCCCATGTGGTAGAAGTGCACTCTCTCTCGCTCGTCGTGCGCTATCTGAGATCTCTCTTGTTTTTTTTTTTTTTTTTTTTTTTTTTTTTTTTTTTTTTTTTTTTTTTTTTTTTTTTTT